TCCTTCTAATGGATTCTCATCCTGCACATCCCAAAATCCTACTGACACACAACACACAAACCGTCACTATTGCCACTGAGCATTAGTGAGGTTTATATCGCTTGTTATATGAGAAAATACATATAGAATACCAGTTGAGGATTAAGTTCTAATTTTTATAAGTAAACATCATAAATTGCCTAAGAAATCATAGAATATAAAGGCATGTAAAGAACATAGACAAGCTTGTAATGAAACCCTCAGTTTTAAAACCGTAATTCTCTTTCAAAATCAACATTTTAATATGCAAAATTGACTCCTCAAATACCTGAGGGCACCAGATATCTTGTGCCAAGAATGGCCAGAGGTACTGGAGCTTTTGTTGACCTCCTCAGCCATGAGTAATGCTTCATGTTTTGCTCTTAAATACAGACAAATTAAAAAAAAAATCCAAAATAGAAGGCCACAGGCTGACCTGTTAACAAGAGACTAATCTTTGCATTACCAAGCTGTAAAAAAAAAATCTATTTTGCTCATATAATTTTCTGCTGAGCACATGTAAAAAACATTGTATCAACAGAAAAATTTTCGTGCATCTTGACACAATTGCTAACAAAAGGCCACAAGTTCAAAGAGTGCTGAAACAGGCAGCCATATATGTTAATAGAACGGTGAGACAGTACCATGGTCTATGCTAGAACTGCAATACATGCAGAACAAGGACAAGGGAACCACAAAACAACACATGTAACAAATGCTTAAAACCAGAAATTAGACCTCAATGGCAGAGAAATCAGTAATTCACTACCTGACTTCCATTCAGAGTAATTTTCAGCAGCTTGTCTAAAGATCTTAAGTAGGCATTCCAGGCACGAACGGTCATCTCATGGCTTAAATCAGAGACAACAGGCTCAAATTCCCTGCAAGAGCCATGATATGTTTTGGACCATGGAAAGCAGAACAGACAAAGCAGGACTGGCCATCTGCAGAGCTCAACAGTAGTGGTTACTCTGGGATCACAGAAGAGAGTTTCGGTAGATGAGGGCAGCAAGGAGGTGTTAGAGTCCTGCAACACCTTACAGGTGCTACTGACTTGAGACTATACCCCCAGAAGCGCAGCTTCACCCCAAACAGGGGCACAAGACACTCCCTAACACCAGAAGATGGCAGAGCATGGCCTCAAGGCATTGACTGTTCAACCAGCACAGCACTGAGTCAAACCATGTGCCTAAACTCAGAAGCCTTTCCAACAACTCCGAAGAAGAACCATCTTTATAAGTTGTCCCAGTTAAACAGACACCATCAAAAATTCCCCATCTCTGGCAGTATTCAAGGCCAGGCTGAATGGGGCTTCAAGCCACCTGGTACAGTGGAAGGTAACCCTGCCCATGGCAGGAGTGATTGGAACTAGATGGTCTTTAAGGTCTCTTTCAGTCCAAAGCATTCTACGACCCTATGACGACTCTATGATTTGAGTGTTTCCTTATTCAATTTCAAAAGAAAGCCATTCTCCTAGAAACTGCTTCACTTCAGTTACTCTTACAATCAAAATACTATCTCTGATCTAGCAACAGAGTGCTAGGGAAGGCCTTGGAATTTTATTTGCACCAGGTGCAGCTAACACATAGGGAGGGTAAGCTGGAAATCCATCTTTGGACTTGCCCGCAGCCCTAGGGGCCGGCTGAGAAGCCTTGTAAGGCCAACCTGGCGCAGCTCGTTGTTTTCAATCAAGGGCCACAGACAAATCTGTGGCTGACACAAGTCCAGCTCTACAAATGTCGCAAGAAAGTTGCTCTGTGCGGCTGTTGATTAAAAAACCTCCTGCGCCAGTTCATTTTTTTACTGTATTTTGTAAACATACCCAGTTGGCTCAGGATCACTGTTTACTATCAAAATATCAAACACACAAAACATCGGTCAGGGAAAACACCGTAAGGAGGCTCAGCTCCCTCTTCTTTGCTACACAAGTGTTAAATATTTAAGAAATCGCTGCTATTCCTTAGTCATCAAAAATGTTATAATCTGGTATTATTGTACTGAGGACATTTGAGGTCGCTCTTTGAGTAACAGAGCTGTCTCCTAACTCTGCCAGCAACGAAAAAAAAAATTTTCCTAACAGGAAAAGGTTTGCGGCCCAGAGCTTGTTACATAAATTCCTGTTTTTCACGCAGCCAGCAGGACATTAAAGAAGCTATGATTTACTAACTTGGAAAAAGTGTTGAAGAGGTAAATCTTGTGAAAATATGCACTGCTGTTAATGATGTTGTGTCTACAAATCCTTGCCAGATGCAAACATGACCTGATAAAAAAGTATAGTTTCAGCAGTGGATCTTGGCAGCTGGAGGAATGGCGCAGCTGTTAGTAGCTGGGGCATGTGGCGGCACCACCAGCTCCGGCACGCTGCGGAGATGCCTTCAGCCACAAGTTTCACCTGGACTTTGAAGCAAAGCCTCCCAAAACCTGATCTGAATAACCCCAAAAACAAGCATCTGCATTTTGAATAGGGTCTTCAAACAGCAGCAGTTCATGCCAGATTGCACTTGAGCATAACTGTACTGGAATTTTATCAAAATCTGGGTCAGGATGGCAGCAGGGCTGCTGCCACCTGTGGAGTGCTTCCTGGGATTGAGTTTTTGCCTCTGAGATAAAGTAAACTTACTCCAGCATTCAGACCAGGAATTGTGGATGTGCTTATTGCTACTTTCTGATTTAAGACTCAAAATATGCAAAACTGGTATCAGCTACGTGCAATGTGAAGAGCACATCCCAGCTAATAAAACTCATGAAGCCAAGATAATTATTCCCTTGAATCTACATATTTATATCATTCAGCTGTACTTCTGACATTTACAACAACTCTACCAATATCCAACACTGCATTTAAACCCAAGATATAAATAGCAAAACACACAACTTAAGTTAAACTTGACTAATTGCTGAGAAAAATTATACCCCTATCCAAAATGAAGTTGAGGTATTTAATTTTTTTTTTTTTTTTTTTTTTTTTTTTTTTTTTTTTAGCAAATTGTGTTGGTGTTTCACTAAACACCTGAAAACCCTGTTGCTCTGTTAAACTTGAAAACATTGTACTTACTGAAGTGAGACCATCCAGTGACGCTTGGCCCGATTTCTTCCACCCCAGACCTTGGAGCACTAAAAGCAGAGGGAAGCAGAGCTCCCCTTTAACCCAACTGCAAGCCTCTCCAAGTAGGACCTAGCTGTGGATTTGTTTTTATCTGGGGCGCTGCAAATTTGTAAAGCACCTATGAGTGCTAATGGTCTCTCCCGCCCTCACACTTTCATCCATGGGCACAGGCAGTTCTCATCCATCCCACCAGAATGCCATGAGAGCCACCAAAAGGGAGAGTGAAGAATGGATGTGAGAAGCAATACACTCTACAAAAACAAGTGTGTTTGCTATCAAGGTGTATATGCTGACAGCTTTGCAATAAAGCACACCACGGCACATCAGGGACATGTAACAAGTAACTACTAACAAAGGTAGGAAGGAGTTGGCCTCTGGAAGCAGATGCAGTCATAACAAACTGAGAGGCCATAGGAACAACACTGCTTCTATAACATATAGGTCTAGGATTTCCATTAAAATTAACAGTCTAACGACTGCCCACTAAGTTTTCATTCAGACAACATCCCAGGAGTCCACTGCTTTCCACACCTCTTCCAAGGGGATGGCCTACACAAATTGTCAGCTTGTTCTACCATCAGCTGTGGCAGTACAACCTGTTAATGACAGCTTACTGCAGGTTTCTGAGCCAGCACAATCTCCTTGTGGTGACAACACCAAAGCTTAAGTTTCGCAGCAGAGAAGTGGAGACCCCCATCCCCCCAGGATTTCAATATGCTCTTACAGAAGACATTCAACCTGTCTCTCTAGGTCTTTGTATAGGGACTCTACAGCAGGTCCAGATGTTCACATCATCCTCCCCCTGGAGCTTCCACCACTCTAAGAAGTCATTAACACTCCTAGGAAAGTGCAGAAGCCAGGAAGTTCTCCAGCACACTTGCTCAGAGCTCATTCAGCATTGACAGCCGGACAGCAGCAGCAGGGGCTATCCATGGCAAGTGGCACCATGTGGCATCTATCCAAGGCTACGTTAGATCATGCCTGGCAAAACAGGCAGGTTTGCCTGCAATAGCTACACTGCCTGCACCCGTTTTGCTGTGGTTTCCAACTGCGCTGCCAAGTTTACGGCACTTGGATGAAGAGCCCAAGGAGGAAAGAAAACATTGGTAACTCCAGACCTACCAGAATTTCCTTTGGTACAACAGTCTGGTGTAAGGCAATCCTGTTTGTCTTACCTAATAACTGTAAAATACAAAATGTTCAGATGCCGATGCTACACATGGAGCTTGGATTTGCCTCAGAGCTAGTGCTGGACAGTCATAAGCACATGGTCTACAGAGAGCACACATATTCTGACACTGCAGTGTTCACCAACACAACCACACTGCAGTGTCAGAGGCCTCAAACACTAATGAAACAGCTAATTTTGCCACTCAGTTGTGGTATTTCTTTATTACAGCTCAGAAACCTTCTCTGTTGTCCAGTAAGAGTACGGACAGAAAGCATGTCACTTAGCCTCAGGTCAGAGTCGTATTTAGAAGATGCTGGAAACTTGCCACCTGCAGCTGCATGAAGGTGGAAGGCAGGATTTCCTCCCAAACAGGTCATACTTTTTTGGGTCCTTTGTTCTTAGAGAGGTGCTTTTGTTTGACTTCATTTTTTCTCCTGCACTGTTAAACAGTTAAGAAGTATCAGCTGGAAAAAGTGAAGAAATAATTCTCTCTTCCTAGGGTGACCTTGCACTGTTTCTCTGTGCTTTCCATTATATCTGGTAGCATAGTGAGAGTCTTTCCCAGACCACTACCTATGAAATACCACCTCCAAATATGGAGACCCTTCCATAAACTGTTCCATGTGGTAAGATTTCAGCAATGCATCCCTTTTTCCATGTATGAATGTACAAGGACAGGATGGAGTGTGTGTTATTGCTATATGGTTGCTATACATCTCTCCTGAACACAAAGGGGCTTCCTGTGGCCATATGTCAGTGGCATTAATCTAAGTCCTGTACATTCTGCATTCAAGTTCACAGATTTATACTATCCCATGATTCCTTCTCATAGCTGTCAGACTAAAAAAACTTTGAACACTGAAAGTGCTTGGCCATCCTCCAGGTTGCATCCTGCTGCCACTGGGGACGGGAGGGGATTTCTTAACCACTGGAGTGTTCTTCTCTGGATCATGGTAACATGCAGGAACAGAAGATGCATACCCAGCTTCAGAAATTGATGTTTAAGACTTGGCTGTCCATGACTACATGTCAGAGTGGGCAACTCTCTTGACATGTATTTGAGTATTTCCCAATTGCCATACCCTATATCCTCTTCCACATCCTAGGCAGACTTCTTGAAAGCACATTACCATAATGGCAGTTTGGACATTTCTAATGAGATGATAACACTGCATACTCTCCCTACAGGCATTTTGGAAGAATTAAAGTAAAAACCATAAACAAGGCTCACAGTATGTCAAATGTGCACACAGGGCAAGCACACACCTGGATACTGTTCCACATCTGATGATCTCAACCAAAACTTTTAACCACTCTTACATTTTCTGTACCTCCAAGAGAGAGACAGGGCCACAGCCAGGTTAACCATCACCTACATCAGTGTCAATACTGTGTTTCGTAACTACATGTATTTCTGTGAGCACAATACAGGCATGATGTATCATCAACTCATATAGACCAAATACATAGACATTTGCTAGGATTCCAAAGCCAAGAAAACTACATGACACCAGCTAGGGAAAAAAGGGACAAAAAATGCAAATGAAAAACATGAGATTTTTAAATGAAATTTGCTGAATTTGCACCTTCATCCCTCTGGTAAAATCATCTGTGGAACCAAGGCAGCCAACAGGTTTGTCTAAAATCTATCCATTTTCAAAGATGAAAGAAAGGCAACAATAAGAAGGCACCACAGTGTCATTAAAAAAAAAAAAGGCAAATAGCCATCAGGATAGACAATGGCTTCATTTATCAGCTTCATTTATCACAGCATTAAAAGTTGTAAAGTGTAGAAAAATAAATATCAAATAAAAAAATTTCAAAGATAGCAGAGATAACTATTTTTGGTGATCCAGACAAATTTTAATATTTCCTTTACAAAACTGATGCTGCAAGCTTTCTACTTCAACAGATGGAAAACAAGTGTTTGACAAATATAAGGGGTCCACATTTGTAAATAAACATTTCTGTTTTCCACAAATATGAAACATATATATGCATATATACAGCTCATGATGAAGTGAGTTCATCAGTGACACAGGAGGACAACAAGGAGACCTCACTGAAGAGGAACATCTCAAAGTCAGAATGCCCTTCAAACTAAGGCTTTTTCTCTGCTCTCCTTAAGCACTCTCTCTGGCCTTCACAAGCAGCCTGTGCAATTAGGTCAGTAACACAAAACCAGCAAAGCAGGAGGACATGTGATTAACTTGAGAGACCAGGTGCTATCACAGAAAAGCCGGTAAAGGAACTCAATTAATAAAACATCAGAGGTCAAGGAAATACTCAGTCTTTCAAACCAGTCCTACAAAATATTGCCATTGCACGTACAAAAGCCTCCATCTTCTGTTCAGGAAAGGTGAGGGAACACCTGCATAATGCCAACACCAGACCAAAAGAATGACAGTGCAGTCCAGGTGAGCACCACTGCTAAGGTGTGCCCATCAAAGGCATTAAAAGCATTGGAATCATCTGTAGTCCATCAAGCCCTGAGGAAGCCTGCTGTGATCATGGAGAGCAGATAGCCCTTTTACAATTATTCACTGTGAGCTCTAATGCAGTGACCAGCCAGGAATGTGACTCTGCAGGGACGCAGGCACCACACAGCCATAATGGCCTGAGGAAAAGCTATCCTCAAATGCAGAGCAAAAGCAGGTTATTGCAAGGAAAACACAAATCACAATTATAGGCAAAGTTCATTAAACTGAAAAAAAAAATTAAGTAATAACGTAGCAGTTCATCCATACAATGCCAGAATGACTAACAGCTCAAATTTTATTCTGCAGCTACAGTAAAAAGACTAAGCAGTGTTTATTTTTTTTTCAGCCAGTGGGAATAATTATGATCAGTAGGACAAAAAATGTTAATCACTTGTTTCCTGTTTAACAGACAGCCTGCTTCACCTCTGCCACTCTCCACTGTTACACCCAATTCATCACAAAGACTACAGCACTGTTTATAGAAATCTTTCCCCACAGCTCTTTTTCTTTCTGTAACTAAACTGCCTTTTATTGACATTTGTTAGTTGTAATGAAGAGGTACAAAAGTGTATACATGCTAAATATATCAATGCTAATTAGACTAGCATATCATCTTAAAAGGAACACTGGAAATATGTTCTTACCAATTAGAAGCAATAAGGTCAGAAGTAGGCCAAGGTCTTAAGTGCAAATTACAGAGGTGAAAGCACATTGTAGTAGAAAATAGGGTTGCTTTTTTGCGGTAGCCTTTGAGACCATGCAGAGAACTTCCAAGAAAAAAACCACAATCAAAAACCCCAGATAGGATTACTCAAAAAGCTTAAACTGGTTAAGTGGAACAACTGTAAAGATCCCTGCCTGAGAAGCCACCTAAGTTTTACAAACTAAAATCCCTGCATTATGACCAAAACAGATCTCTGACACTTGTCTAGGTAAAGGCACAAGCAGACCTAGACCTGTATGTTTGGTTTCAGCTGGTTACTTTGCTAGGGAGCCGCAGATGTTCATTTTCACGAATTAAGGCTATTTGCTTCCACAAAACCACTGATAACCTAAAGGGCTGTAATGAATGTCAGGACCTGATGGATTTACTAGCAATGTGCTGCCCACAACAGTTGAAAATGAGTTAAAAGTGAGGCAGGTAATGCAAAGCAGGATGTACTGGAGACATGAGCTATGCTCATGGCACTTTCCCCATGCACTGTGCTGCCCATGGGCTGGCCATGCCTGGAGAAGCTCGAGGCTGTCCATATTTCTCACCTTGAGAAGCAACATACCAAAGGGGACGTACAGAACCAACAGTATAAAAAGTTCCGTTGACTGAGCCTTTGCATAGAATACAAAAAAGAAATATATCTCCTTATTACACTTGTATTAGTACAGCAGAGTCAGTCTTTTCATTTAGCAAGTAAAGGACTATAGGACTCACATTCTGTGGTCATGGATGTCACTGAATATCAGTTTTTCAGAAACAAAGAGTCAATGAAAGCAGCAAGCTTCCTCTGCAGCAGGGTTAGCTGTGCCCCACAGGAAATCCCTGGCTTGAGGAAGCTGCAAGGCTTGTGAAAAGAAGGGCAAAGCCTTTTATTTACAGGCTGAACAATATCTTAAGCTACATCTCACTATGATTTGATCTTTATTTTGACTAAAACAAGTGCAAGGATATGCTAGCAGAATTTATACAGTCCCCCAAACTACTGAAAGAAAACTAAAACAAAGTAGAATATTTTGTTTGGCTTTAATCATCTTTAGAAACTATTTAGTGCCTCTAATGGTTAAGATGCTGAAGGTTTCATATTTGTAAGGGGACAGTGTCAGCTTAAAAATAACAACCACACCATGAATTTCACCTAGTGTTGTAAATATCTGATGTTGATGTAGTACACAAGAGAAACTGAGGAAAAAAGAAAGTGACATTCCTCTTTCCCTCAGTTTCTTTTGCATCTGAATGCAGTCCAGTACATAGTCACTGTTTTACTATTTATGTTTCCTCTAGCCAATTTACTCTTTATCTGTCTTAAACATGAAAAGAAAATAAAGTATAATTTTCCTGTTAACAAAGCAGTAGCAGAAAAAAACTGATTTCTTACATTTTTATTAAAATAGCTTAAATAGTATCATATTCAAGTTCTCTCTAAACTCCTGCATAATGCAAATAGGTAAAGGATATTGCTTTATACAGTCAATATTTGTTCATTTCTCTTTGTGTTTTTATACCCCAAATTCACAAGAAGCAATTATACATCTTCAATTACTCCTCTTTGTACATCCCAAGAAGGCACCACATAAACTAGGCATTATGTTTCTCCCCAGCTTCTTAGAACACAGTTTGCCTTGGTACTTATTTCCCCCCACCACAGAAGCAGGTCAGACCACCAGCACACTCTCTTCAAGAGAGCTCTTTCCAATTCAAGTTTGCTCCCACAGCCTAGCAGATTTTATGTAACACAATTTACTACTCCAAAGCCAGCAAAAAACCCTCATCCAAATTTCAGGACAGCCTTTGGCTATATTCCAGCGTGCACTGCACCTCTCCACTGTCTGGCCACTTGCAGCCACCCTCTTTCAAAAGGTAAGGTTAATACTTAAAAGGGATTTTAGTTGATTTCCTTGGGACTTGAAAGACTCCTGTTGGGTGGCTGCACTGTTCATGCCAGCGTCTTCCTCTCAGATGCTGCTCTCTGTGATGTTCTTCAGGCCATAGTTCAAGAATCACTGGGTTTTATGACATCTGCTCAGTATTATAAAGCCAGAGTTGTCCAATCTTGCAAAACATGTAGCACCACCTCTGAACAGTTATCCCCAGACAGGCTCACAATTTTCAGTAGGTTATGGGAGGCAGAGCAGTATTCTTCAGATCAAGATGAGCACCCAGAGGAGGGAAATCTTAAGGCAAATTTCTTCCCTCACACCTATTTTGGAAGCATTCCTAGTCCCTCTCTACTGTAGGCTGTGCTCTGTACTTAAAGAGACCCTTATTAAATCAAATAAATATTTACAATCTACATACTGGCAAGTCCACATTCCCATAGAATGTCATCTGGCAACAGTGACTTAAATCATCAGCTCTGTACTTATTTGCTTTCCTCCTTCACAAACAAGAAAAGTAAAAAGGACAAGAAAAAAAATCATGTTTTTAATGACAAGAATGGAATTAACAGAGTAAAGCCCAAGAGCACCAGCACTCATTACTATACCCAAATGTCCTTGTTTTAAGCAGTAAAGTATTACAATGAGGACAATGAAAAGGAAGATTAGCACCACCATTGTGGCTTGAGATCTTTTACATACACATCTGCTGCTAGAGGTGCAGAACCCCATTGAACACAAAATAAGACAGCTTCCAGAGTGGGACACTTGCACAAAAACTAGCTTTGTTAGACATTTTGAGTGCTAGATTTTTCCTACCAACTAGGTCTAATAAATTACCCCTCATTACTATTTCTTTCCATTTGACATACACAAAGAAACTGGTCTTAGCACGGGTGCTCAGAGAGCAGACCTCATTCAGCATCCCATTCCCCTGGACAGAGCCCGACACAGGAAAGCTCTGGGCATAAGGTGCCTTTTAACCAGCTGGAACAGGAGGTGTCCCAGGGAGTACATTCTATCACTCTTATCAGTTCAGAAAAGAAAACATTGTTTTTGAAAAGCCTCCCCTCCTCTATGCTAATCCCTCAAACCCAAAAAGCTCTTATCAACTTCCAGATTAGGCTTCCTCCTCCTAGAGGTCACAGTCTTCACGTGGGGCAAGCTTCACCATCTTCACCACAATCCCCCTTGAAGAGAAGCCCACGTGTAACTGGGCAGCCTGAGCCTGCCAGCCTCAATATTCAGATTTAAGGACTGCAACAGTCAAATTCCCAATCAAAAGGCCTGCTAGGGGCCTCCCATCCTTTTGCTCAAAGATGAAGAAAGCAGTGGAGCTTCCCATCAGCTTTCCCCTGATATGCATTAAATCATATCAAGGCAAAAGCACAGCTGACACTGAGAGCTAAAATGCCGTAAATCAATTCACAGAGGTGCAAGACGGAAGTTTTAAGTTACTCTAGATGGACTTGCTCAGTATTTGTCTCCCAACAGCTTTTGCTTCTTTCAAGTACTGCAGTTTAGTTCTGCCTCTTGCAGACAGGCAGAGAAGCAATGCAGCCCCTGTGCAGCTCCAAAGATGTGCAAACTCTTTAACTGAGCTGGTCAGAATAGGGCACTCATTTCAAATAAATAAATAAATAAATGAAATTTACAGGACATTAACTTAGATCTGATTAAAAATAGCAGGAATGTCAGCAGTAGGAGCTGTCATTTGTAATAGCTATCAAGACACAGGAAGTTATTTATTCTGTGGGTCACATAAAGCCCTCTTTAAAAATAAGGATGAAACAAGAAAAAAAGAAAGCATGTTTACTGAAGCCTGTTTCCCAATATTATCTAGTCAACTTTGTTTATGAAATTTTATAATGATTCGTCATTGATATATATTTGGTTTATTTCCACAGATCTGGAAATAGCTAAATACAGCTAATACAGTTAAACAGCTGGCCACTGCAGGAAACACTGAAGCCCTTGCTGCTCGTGCTTAATTTTTGGATTCTTTTCAGTTTTGAAGATATTGCAGGGAATTTTTGCACATTTTCATTTGGTTTTAAAAAGAAATTAAGGTCTTCCCCCATAAAGTCAGGCGTTTTCAAGTATTTTGTCTGTTGATTATTCATGTAATCATAAATTACCCAGAGTATTTGGCAGGCCATGCCTTTCTCTGTTAAAACATTTGTTTTTACTTTTTCAGTTATTGTTTATATCCTGGTCATAACATGCTCCAGGTTGTTTTGAACAGCAAAGAGGAAATAAGCAATATTTTAACTTATATCACACTGTAACAACATTAAATGCCTATGCAGCAATATGCTGCCTATTCAGTATTTTCCACTTTCTTCCTGTCCGCTGCTAGCTTAAAACAATGAGATAATTCACAATTTTACAGTTTTGCGACATGTAAAACACAGGCTCGCAAGCATGCTCAGAACAAAACACAAAAAGGAGCAAGAAATAGGGCATCCAAAAAAAAAAAAAAAAAGAAAGAAAAAAGAAAAAAGAGAGGAGCAGAATATAAAGTAAACATATTTGCTGAAGGTTGGTTTTGAAATCACAGGAAAGCCAACAAAGCTCTTCTGAAGTCAGCTCACATGCACCCAGGCATTGCAGGCGACACAGCTGGACGAGGCACAGCCCCAGCAAGGCACTGTTTGCCTACATTCACCCTGACACCACGGCAGAGAGTTGGGAAAGAGACTTTGAACTACGTGCCATCACTGCTGCTCAGCACGATCACGGTCTGTGGTGGATGCGATTACTAAACCCATCGTGACCCCTAGAAAATGCCCTATAGATTAGAAAAAATTGAGCCAACATTCCAAACACCACACAATTCACACAAAACAGTCTCTGTGACAAAGCAGGAATTACAGAACTACATTTCAAAAATTTCTCAAGGATTTTTTTCTACAGATTTAAGTTGAACATTGTATTTCAAGCATTCAGTTATCATGGAGAACGATTTCCATCTCTCCTCTGTTAGCTAAGTCTTAAGAATTTGTCATTTACCTAAGAAGATGAGAGATGAAGAGAGGGAGATGAAGAAAAGAACATTTCTTCCAAGACTGGCTTTGCAAAAAATACTTCTTAAACTTAGTTTTGGAGCAATGAGTGAAGGATCTGAGCCCCGTACCTTGAAGATATCTACATACCAATTGCAATTTTAAGAAAGTTTAGTAGCTCTTAGACACTCTTTTTAATAAAATTCTCAAGATATCAGAGAAGTTTAGGACCTATCACTTTAAAGCACATTCCTCAAATAATGGAAACTGGCAAAGCAGCCATGGGCTTAATCCTCCTTTTTCCTCCTCTGTCAATTATTCAAGGACCCCACATTCACTCATCCACTGCTGCCTACTTCCTTCAATGCCAAACATTTCTGGGGCATCTGATAAGGAAGTGCAGTGTTAGCTTGCTCAAAGTTTTCGTAACAACAGCAGCCATCCCCCCCACACACATGTATATATTCAATATATTTGACTGATTTTCCAAGGAGACTTGTAGCTAATTTTGACAAGAAAAAGTACAAATCTCTGTGTTCCACAGCTCTTTTAAAAAATGAAGCATTATTTTAAACTTGAAAGAGTGGAGTTTTTTTCTATTCTCACCTATTTCTATTTTTGTGTAAAGGTTTTAAATGTCAAAACATTCAAGAAAAAGCATGATCAACCAAAATATTAAGATACATATTCAACTCTAAGAGTTGAAGAGAAGCCTGTGATTTGTACAAATCCCCGGGCTGCAGTGATTTCTGTGCAGTGTTGTTGGCTAAGAAACACCACAGAAATCTGTTAAAAGCAGATTTAAAGGCCTTTTTACCTTAAGAAAGAACTTGCTTTCTGGCACAGCTAAAGGCACACCACAACTTTTGCATGAGCTTGCTTGACTCCTCTATACTGCCAGAGGCTGCCCGCAAATCAAACAGCCCTAACCATGTGGATTTCTAATATTTTTTTATCAAGTCTATTGACAAACTCACATCCTTTCTATTGTAGCTGTAGTCCACATACTCTTAGGGACCCCAAAATACTTCCAAAATCCCTCAGAAGGCAGCCAGGGGAGGGTAGTGGCAATCAAATGTCCTCTGTCTGTTTGCACTGGGCTTTCCTGTAATCCTGGCTTAAACACACGTGCACCACAGGAAGAAAACAGACAATTTTAAGTTGCTGACTAGAAAAAGAGCAAGAACCATCTAAGATTAAACCTGGCCCCCAGACTTCGTCAAAAGGCTGACTTAAAGGATAAAGCCAAAGAAGATTAACTCAAGTACGATGTCAAAGTACACTCAAACAGCAACAGCTTCTTGACAAACACTGAGGGGTTGTAAAAACCAGAACATTTAAGAGGAGGATTGTGCAGTCTGTGCCTGAAGGAAAGCTCTCCCAGTCCAGGTTCTGGCACCTGGCAAACTCCAGCAAATGGTTCTGGTTGTAATGATGCAGCACAACTCACGGAGTCCATAACCAGAAATGCAGACAACCCAGATGACTTCAGAGTGTAAAAATCCTCTGAGAGACACACTGTCCAGTGGAGAAGGTGACATTGCCATTCTTCCATGCACTATGGGACCAGCCAGTTTTCCTTTCATCTGACAGCATTTAGGGAGGGCTGCAGTAGCAAAGAAGTGCACAGTTCATCCATTGGCAGTGTTAGCAAGGTACAGAGAAAGATTCAGATACTTTGCTGTGTCCTCTCACTCCTGCTATGAGGGGCAAAAGGCATTTAGAATTACTTCTGTTAAAAAACCTATCAGCTCCTCACACTAAGGGACCAAACAAGAACAGGTCACCGGTCAAGAAGCTCTACCAGTTTGTGGTTGTCTTCCCAGAAGAGTGAAAAGACATGATGAAAATAGTCCCCACTAACACTGTCAACAGAGAAGACTATGGCTTTAAAGACAGTGGCTTGTATTGTACAGCAGTTTCAGCACAGCTGCTTGACAGGCCACAGGAGACACCAGTCACTCTTGGTGGGAAGGAGTATTGACTGCCAAACCTGGAAATGCTTCCCTGAACACTCTGGGTCATCCAGCTCCTCTGAGGCAGTCATAGGCTTACAGGGTGGTAGGAGCACCTGCCTCTGGTAGGGGGTCTGCCACTCAAGTTAAGCTGTTTCTGCTTCAGATTAAATGAGGAACTTGTAATCTCAGCAGTCACTTGAAAATAGGAAAGCTGCAGCTTCCAACAGATGACCAGAGAGTATCCATGAGAGCTTCAGCCCAACACAACCCCAGTTCTCTAGCACCACCCACTAAGAAACTCAACCAATGCAAGAACAGGTTCCCCATACAGAAGATACTGCTTCACACCTCAGAGGCCATCCCCTGGTCTGCACACTACTGGGCTCAATCTCATCACTGACCTAAGCTTTCCTCCTCTTTCTCCTCCTGCCCACACCAAATTTTATTTCTACTTGGAATGATGACATCCCCAACACAAAGACTGAGCATGAGGACTGGCACTTTCCTCAGTGAAAGAACAAATTTCCCCACACCAAAAAGCTACCAGTAAACAGGTTTCAATGACTCAATACACAGAAAAAACTTACCTGACTGAAGTCAACAGAAGGTTAACATTTCTCTATGTTCAACACACATTTTTCTATTGATGGCATTAAAATACTAAAGTTAACACTCCTAGTTAGAAAAGGCTCCAGGGAGGCCTCATTGAAGCTTTTCAGTACTTAAAGGGAGCTTTTAAAAAAAGATGGAGAGTGACATTTTACAAAGCAGATAGTGGTAAAACAAGGGGGAACAGTTCTAGACTAAGAGGAGAGATTTAGATTAGATATTAGGAAGAAATTCTTCAGATTGAATGGTACCCCGGGCAACCTGATCAAGTGAGAAGCATCCCTGCTGATGGTAGGGGCTGAACTACAGGATCATTAAGGTCCCTGGAACTACAGGATCATTAAGGTCCCTGCCAACCATTCTAAGAGTCTATGATAGCTCTTCTATATGAAGATCTTCTCTGCTTTGGTGCAGTTTTTCCTTTGTCTACATTATGTTTAAATCTTGTTTCCTTTTTTTTTTTTTTTCCTGAAGATTAGCTTATTATCCATTCTACAAGCCCTAAGGTAAGAGAAAAGGCAGTAAAAACAATATAAAGAGTACCTGTGAAGATTAAAGACTATCATGACAATGGGAAGTCACACACACAGAGGAGGCTGACACCCTCACTGGTGTTCTGGTTTCTCTCCTAGTTGCAGCTCACCAGGATGTGTCGAGGCACAAAAACCTGTGAGACAAAGTAAGCTGCCATCCCTTATCTACAGCACCATTAGAAACAGGCATTCCCACCAGCCTGGTGCCTGTTTGGGGCTGGAAAGCTGGAAAGAGAAGAGGAGGGAGACAAAGAGGTGCCTGGCACCTTTATTCGAGGCTGAGAAAACACCATTTTCTCTCGAGCAGAGAAGGGAGCAAAGAGCAAGCGCCATCCCTCAGCCATGGCAGCACGCACGCACATGCACACGCATTTCCTGCGGCTTCGCGAAAACAATGAAGTGTGGGGAGCCTGGCTCTCATATGAAGCACACACCGGCTATATATAAAATAAAGAAAGCAGCTGCTTCAAAAGCTCAGTCATGCTTTTATCAACAGGGCTTTAATTAGTACCCATCTGCTTCCTGTTTTATACTACAGAACTGACTTTCACCTGTTTCAGCAAAACAACCCTTCCCCCAAATGGAAGTGTGCACACACACACACGAACACACACAAGAAGTTCACAAACACTTTATGCTTAAGTAGTTAACATCTGAAATCCTTGTTCTGAGTGTGTGGGCTATATAATTGCTTTTTTTAAAAAAATTAGGCTTTGTCAGAGCTATCAGATTTCACAGTCAACACCTTTAAATCACACACCTTATATGTTTCACCATTTATTTTAACTCACTGGCACTTGGGGACCCAAAGAATTCTGGAGCCCTGTTGTGCTGGCACTGCACTACAGAGAGGGCTCGCAGTGGAAGTGTGGGCTTTTCCTGAGGTCCCTCACATACATGAAAGGCTTTAAATAAACAATGGTAAGGCTGATAGTTTGAATCCATTCTTAACTCACCCCATTGTTTGAAGAGAAGAAACAACACGTAGAAGAAAAATATTACTGAGGGAGGAAATAGCTTCACCTTTGAATTTCCTGACATTTTTCCTCCCACGCTTTTCCCGTTCACTCGTCAATTATTTATTTATTTTGCAGGGAGAAGACAAGTGAAAGTTAAGTACACCAGCACAGCTACGTGCGGTCAGACCTGCCCACCTCTCCTGCACAAAGGAGCTACAAGCCCTTGAAAGCCCGCCAGGAGCAAGGTATCCAGAGAGCAAAACAAGAGGAAGCAAAACACTAGGAGAATTAATTTCTTGCCAGTGACTGAACAAGGAGCACCACTTGCCCGCTCCTAGGCACAGCTAGAGGAGTGGGAAGAGGGGCAAGCGCCAAAAGGAGCAGTATTCATAAGGTCTCTATGTGAATTTTTTTGGTTATGCAAAGCCTTCTCAAACTCAAAGTTACCCATCACAGAAAAGTGCTTTTCTTAGCACACCTTTAGCATCAGCCACCACTTAGAATGCTTATTTTGCCAGAATAAACCTGGCAACCACACGACTCATGCTCCAGTTTTGGAGTGGGAGGAGACCATTCTCTCTTTACAGTTAGAAGCCTCATCTGCAACAGCTTTCCCAGACGCACAAAGCTGACCTAACTCAATTAGAGTTTTCTTCCATAGCATCTTGGAGCTGCTTCCAGTTTTTGGATCTGTCTGTCAGTAGGGTTCATGAGATTCACCAAAGACTGAAAAGTAAGAAAAAAAGTAATTCCAGTAAACAGAATTATTGCAGTTACCCCTTTGATGTAGTTACTCATGGTGGTAGCACAAGCAACCAGCCTACAACATCCTCCTGTGACCCCTGTGATCTCTCCCAAGGGGAGATCACAGTGCTGGCAACACCAGAAGGGGAAAACACTAACAGAAACACTTGACTGTAAGACTCAGTATTCAGGAGCCTACAAGAAAGATGGGGAGAGATGACTTACAAGGCTATGTAGTGGCAGGACAAAGGGGAACAGCTTCAAACTGACTGAAAGTAGGTTTAGATTAGATATTAGGAAGAAATTCTTTACTCTGAGTGTGGTGTGGCAGTGGAACAAGTTGCTCAGATAAGTTGTAGATGCCTCATCCCTGGCAATGCTCAAGTCCAGGTTGGATGGGGCTCTGAGCAACCTGTTCTTGTGGAAAGTGTCCCTGACCGTGGCAGTGGCTTTGAAACTAGATGATCTTTATGGTCTCTTCCAATCCAAACCATATTTGCAGCATACTGCCATTTATTATGGACACAGCACATCAAAGTATCATCTATCTCTGTATACACAAAGAGATCTGTGCAGTATCACACAAATCTGATAAACAATAAGAATTGCCATTCAAAAGTAAAGATCAAACTTTTTTTTTTAAATCTCCAACTTCCAGAAGTTCTCAGCAACTCTTCTGCTACCTCACTGTCCAACAAAAGCAGGATTTTGTACACACACTAAGGGAGGTATCAGTGAAAGGAATGAGCTCTGTTGCTAGAGGAAAAAAATAAAATGAAAACACACAGGCACAATGAATGCTCTGAGCATGTGAAATAGGTGAGAAGGGATGGAGCCGAATGAGCATCAAATGTGAGAACTCCAAATATTTCTCAGAAAAGTAAAGCTGTTCACTTTTAACTCAAATTTAAAAAAAAAAGGATGCACTAATCTCTTGGGTTGTGTTTTGTTGTATAATTTAGAAACTTTATGAATTAATAAACCTGAATAATCAATTTTTTTTCCTTAAAAAAGGAAAAAAATTCTTAACCTTGTGTTTTCACCTAGAAGATTACACCACCACTTAGCTATTTTTCCATGGTATCTCAAGTAACATATTACAAAACTTCATCCAGGACTGAAACAACAGATTGTCTCAAGAGCAAATGACAAAATATTTGTACCAGAAATCCTGGCAACGTTGCATGCAGATGGGTTTCTGAAAAATGGGGTTCCAAGAATAAGTCACCCATGGTTCCAATAATAAGTGTTAAATTCAAACAAAACTGGATGTTCACTTTGCAGGGTACTGCAGGCCCTCTCCAGGGTCCCACCCTTGCCACACACAAGAGACTTGTTAACCACAAGCCTCTGAAGTCTGAACTTCAGCTAAACGCAGGAGGCTGGGGAAATGCAACCAAGGCCAGCGTACTGGCTGCATAACCCAGAAATGACACGGTCAGCTACCCCACTGCCAATGGACTTTGACCTGAGTATCGGGGCAGCCCCGAAACCCATGGCCACCATCCGTGGGGGTTTGAGCTGCAGCAGGAGAGGGATCACCCTATCTTGCAGGGCCAGGAAGATCTCTGCCTGCAGCTGGAATGTGGGCACGCTGGTTGTGTCTCTCAGCCTGCCAAGGCACAGCTCAGCGTGACCCTCCCCGAAGCACCGGGGGAGCCCATGTGTTCGAGGCACAGAGACGCGTCACGCTTCAGCGGGGGGCACCGGGGCATGACCGCACCGCAGCAGAAACAGATGTCTGAGACTGCTCCCATAAACAGGGATGGAGAAACTTGAAACCTGTACGTTATTGCTCCACTTCGCCTTTTATAAGGGGAATCAAAAGCAAAGTTCACTGGACGGTAGTGACCTTTTTTAAGTGATTCCTGGGCTTTGGGACACACTGCTTCCACACGGCTTTTTTTGGTTTTGATAATTTTACTCAGCCAGTCATCCATGTTTACTGTATTTTTCTGTTGTTTTCATGGTCAATACATACTGATCTGATAGGGAATTTCAGGATATTCTGCACTAAGAGGAGGAAAACAGATCCTTACTTGAAAGACACATTTAGTCAATATGTTTCCGATCCCTGAAATCTAGGGCCTTCAACAAACTTTTCACCATAGCTTGTCTTCCTTGGCAAAGGTGAACTTCTTACAGACAACTACTGTTCATAAAGGCTATGCAAAACTAGGGGTGTTTGGCAGGAGATAGGCACAGGTTAACATTTCTAGCCTGAGACGAAAAACCTAATATAATTTTTTTTAAATTCAGCACCCATCTGAGACCAAACTTTTCCGTTGAGATGACTAAATAACTGGTTTGAAGTGATTTGCATAAAAGACTTAAAAAATTGTAATATGGATATGGGGGAAGGAGAAGTGAAACAAGAATAGGATAATGACATTTCATGATAACAGAGAGCATTACAGTCTGGTGCATATAAGAAAATAGTGTCCTTCCTTTTCTTTCTTCCCTTTCACATGTCTCTCTAAATATGAAATTAACAAAATTTTCTTTAAGCATAAAAATCAGAACTTAAACTTAAAGTTCAGTTGTACACAATAGCCTAAAGGAATATGGTATGGGAAATAGAAAACAAACTCAGAACCTCATAACATCAGCAGATACAGTACACATATATATTTTTGGTTATAATAATTACAAAGCCACACACTGAAGTTTGTTCATTCTTTGACATAGCATAATCTTCCAATTTACGATCTTGAGTTTTCCAGAAAAATCAAGGCTGTTGGTGTTACCAGAGCGGCCATGTAGAATATACACAGTTCTCAACATACAATTAGTTCAATTAGCAATTACACCAAAACTTGTTTCCTTTTTGGGGTTCAGAAGGTAAGTCATCAAGCTGATGACTCTAGAAATTCAACCACTTTCCAGCATTTAACTGTCTCTCCATTGTATTCATCTTACTTCATCCAAATAC